GCGACGCGTTTCAGAAAGGCGGAGCATAGAGGAGAAACAATAATGTACAGTATGTGGAAAATAATGTTTTTTTTTCCTTAAACCTCATAAACAAATTGCATTACACCAAATACACAAAATAATGTTCTTTTTAGCAACGTCATATGACTCCTTTAAGCCATAAAAGTACCCAATATGTTCCATGTGATTTAAAGTCATACTCTTAAAAATAAAGGATTTAAAATAAAGGAACCTTTACAACCATTGAATCCATGGAAACTATATATATATATATATATATTTATATATTTTTTTTTTTTTTTTTGCCAGTTCTCTAGATTATTAAATATTATTAAAATTGAGAGAAAAAAAATTAATTGGAGATTTAGTTGGTTCTTGTCAATGAATATATGGATCCAGTTCGTTTTGTTCTGTTTCATGGTAATCTTCACCTCCTTTAAGATGTTAACCGCTATGACAGGATCAAGTCAAACTTGAACCACAATTCACAGAAAAGTTGAACAAATTGACAGAAAACTCTGACTCAATAGATTTGTTCACACATCAGTCATAATTATTACTCTCATAAATGCATCAATGAGAGTTAGGGTGATGTCAAGCTTCTCAGTGGATAAAGGACTAGAATTCTGGTCTGTTTCTCACAAAGGTACTTTATGATTCAGAAGACATGGGATATAGTGCACAAGTCATGGACCACTTTTATGGTTTTTTTTTTTTTGTTTGTTTGGGGTTTTTTTAAGCTTAAAAGCTTCAATCCCGGTTTATAGTAACTGAATAACATTCAAAATATCTCTTTTGTTATTTTGTGTTCCACAGTAGAACAAACATTACAAGGGTGTGGAATAACATGAGGGTGAGTTAATAATGGCTGAATTTTCATTTCTGTACGAACTATTCATCGGTAGTTGATCCCTAATTCATTTGTACTGACTATAATTGAACTACTTTAAAACAGTATCTATCCAGGCTACTCATAATTTAAAGTACCTTCCCATACACTGTAGACAAGTAGTGATTTTTTTTTGGCATGTGCCATTACACAGGCGTTGATGGATATGGGTCTATCGTCAGAGTGAAGCCGTGATGTTTTGCAACTACTTGCCCTCAGCAGTCAGCACTTGGCCCACATAGCACACTTTGAATGAGTATCTGTCACACATGGCACCATGCCTTATTGCGCCGGGTGGAGTTGTGGGAAATAAATTGCTGAGAAAGTTGGTACAGGTACATTTTCCACCAAACTTTCCTCCATACACACTGAAGAGAGAAAGTTCTCCCTAACATCTTTATCATAGGAGAGCAGGGGCCTTCTTAAGGCACTGTCACTGTCTTCTGACAAATATACACAGTGTATACAAACACAGAGGCATACAAAACAGAAATAAAGTACGCCTTTCAGAGAAGGGACAATTAAGCATCTCATTTCACCATGAGAACAGCACAAAACTGTCATCATTTACTCAACCTCATGTTGTTCCAGACCCATACGGCATTTGTTCCTCTTCTAAACACAAATTAAGATATTTTAACCCTTAAATGTTCCGTCAATCATTTTTACATATTCGGGTCTTTAGCAACCCGGACCTATATATCCAGCACGGATGGACCTCTAACTGCTGCATTAGCAAAAAAATTATCTTGATATCTTAAGAACAATTACAGAAGAATAAAATAAAGCATATTTCGTTACCTTTTGAAACTTAAAAGGGTTCAATTTGAGCAGATGATTTTACCATCGCTGTCATCGTCAGAGCGCACTTCCACAGTACATTCAGCATCTGCCTCACATTCACGATCTCAACCATATTCTCAAAACTATCGTTTTCAATGACTTCATATTCAATATTTTGATCACTGGCAGCTTACCACATCCAGCATCAAATGGCAGTGACATTTATATTTCATTGCGTATAGTAATTGCTCTGCAGTAAAGCCATTAAAACCAGTTAAATTTTTGCTGATGATATTGGTTTGTTTTAAGCCTGTGGTAATTATGAGTGAAACATCACGTCATCATTATATACCAAACAGTGCCACCTTGAGGAAAAATGATGAATTGCACTAATTGAGTCGTCAGATATGTAAATATAGTCGCGCAGGAAAAAATACTTACACATTTACATACCTCGGGTCTCTAGCGACCCTATACATTTTTTTGTACGAAAAGTTCATCAGAAAACAGGCATTCTTTTATATTTTACTATTTTTTTTCTTGTTATATTGTTTATAATTAATAGATTGAGGAATACTACGAAAGTTGATGTCTAACTTTAAAAAATGAAGGAGGGAGAGGGTAGAGAATGATGTCCCGGGTCGCTAAAGACCTGAGGTATGCATTTAAGGGTTAAATGAAACCTGAGGGATATCTATCCAAGCAACCAAAACCATTTTGACGTTTCAAAATTTTCAAAACGTTCAAGTCTTCCAAAGAGAAACAATCACTTTACATGATGAAAATGTTTAACTTAGGCCTTTATTCATGTATAAAAACTGATCAATGCACATAACACAGAATTCAATTAAATATGGTAATTGGAAGCTCAAACGTGGTTTGTTCTTCCATGTCAAGCAAGCAGGGTTGAGCTTCCGTGTTCACCATATGATAACTATGTTGGTGGGTTGAGCAATGATTATATATGAATGAAAGCCTAAATGAAATCAGTTTATCATATAAAGCGATTGTGTCTCTTCAGAAGACTTGAATTAAACCGCACCATTCATATGGATTACTTTTATGATTACTTTTTTATATGAATTTATACTTCTATGATTACTTACAAAAGTGACTTTTGTACCTTAAATATGTGAAAGTTTTGGAGGGACAGAAATCTCGGTTTTGGATGGCATGGATCTGGAATGACGTGAGGGTAAGTAAATGACAATTTGATTTTTATGTCAACTAACCCTTCGATGCTCAAGCTTCTCAAATCTACACATCACTGCATTAACAAAAGTTTACATCATAATTCAGGAAGGAACGTTCACATTGACAGCGATTTGGTGTGAAAAAGCACCCAGAAGTCACTCATTCTCAGGGGAGTCTGTGATTTGCGGCGACATGAGCAACTGCAACGGTTGGCAATGCAACAAAGTTGAGCTGAAATGTATGCTAATGAGCAGTGATGCGATGCAACCGTTCTCTTTCAGGTCAACTACTGTCATGCAAAGCATTTGTGTACTTGTGTAGAGTATTTTTCTGGCCTGAAGGACAAATTGGATGGAACTTGTGAAAACAAAGTGGGGATTTGATTCCTCAGAATTAGACAAGGTCAAATGACCCAAGAAAAAAAATGTATCCCCATAGATGCCAACAACTGCAAAGCCTGAGGAAAAGCCCCCCCATCCTCAATCCACTGAGTGCATCAATTGAGCCGCCCGAGCTCATTGTGTGGTTTAGGCTATTACTGTCTCATAAGTCCACTGGAAGAGTCCCTCTGGGCCCTTCAAAATCATTAGTCTGGACATCGCGTTTAGTCTACTGGAAATCAAGCACTTAAAGGTGTAAAGGTCAAGAAAACGGAGGACTTTGGGAACAATCATAACGATTGAATCTGACAAAGAATCCGAAGATCCTTGGAAGAGCTTAAAGGGGCAGGTTATGAAAAATATTATGAAATTATGATTGAGAAACAGCATTAAAATTAATTCCACTGGGCATAAAACACCCACGCTGGCTTAACAGCAAAAGCGAAGAACAGAAACACTAGTGAGTTTACACAGCTGTGCTGTTTTAGGAGTTTGCCAGGGCCCTATACATAACTACATATCTCATATTATAAAAGGTTTATTGACTTACCAATATACTCAAAAACATAAACAACGAAGAAGGGTGTGACAAGGTCATTGATGCCCTGAACGTAACCACTGGCTGGATGTCGTATCGCCCAGATGAACAGAATCCGCTCAAAGATCTAGTAAAAAGAAGAAGATATCAGAAAATATATATATATTCAGCATTTGTAAGTAGCAGATATTGATATATAATGATTCATGCGATACAACATGAAAACTGTTAGTAGCAGAATTCGAGCATACAAGGTCACTCAAACGGTTTTAATTAGAGACACAGTGGGATCAAGCCACCCCAGCCAGCAATCAATTAAGAAAATCAATTAAGCCTTCTGAGCTTTTGAATCATTAACATCACAACATTCAATAGCACAGACAGCAAGGTGAGAAATTACAAGTAGCTGTGTGCATATTTATTATTAGATGGGGTTCTCTCTTTTGTGGTTTGCCAAGCAGGATGTGTTGCTGGATTTATAGAATTGTGGGTTCTGGAACAACACTGTTATTGACCAATCGGATTTTAGGGTTAACGCTAGTGTTAGGATTACCTTAGGTCTGGGGTTGGATTAAATGTCTAAAGACATATCAGTCTGATTTAAGTGGAAACTTAAGATTATTTTAGTTTAGTTTACACCTAAGGATCAGCTTAAGCCCAAATAATATTTCTGTTTTAATGTGAAGCCTTTGCTTAGCCTTTCAAAATATAGCCTTCGAGTGGAGATGAGAATGAGTTCCGAGCACAAGAATGACCAAGCAAAACTGTATTTACAAGGAAACTCTGAATTCTAGATGAAACCCAAATTGCAGTGTTGTGGCGTTGGAAGGTGTATGGCGATGTGAAACATGGCACCAACCAAATATTTTGTGAATAACAATGAAGGATTTTTCAACATTATTTTAATATGCCATGCTGTATTTCAATATTATTAAAGCATTATGTATAAAATAGCTTGCAGACAGCAAAAGTGTTTCATAAAATACAAAATAATTGTTTGGTTAGAATGAATGAATGAATGTTAGGGGAGATAGTTAGATTGTATGTAGTTAATGGTTAGGTTTAGCATAGCCTGTGCTAATATCAATAATCAATATTTGTCATGAGACCTTAATAATTGTAGTCAAATTTACTTTTACTATTTCATAAAAATATATTATTTTTAGTTGATAAGAAGCTGCAAAACACAACCTCATTTTTTTTAATGTAAATATTTAAGAAAGCATTCTAAAATATCAAACGTTATAAAAAATTGTCCTTCGCTCCAGAAATAATAACTATTATGTAATCTACTGTAACACAATGTTCACTGTACACAAGTTTGTTTTACTATTCTGTTACAGAAAAGAACGCTTTGATATCATTACTTAAATACACATACCTTTTTCTTAGATTTTTCAATCAAAACATTTATTTATTTTTTATTATTATTTTGTGCTGTCATCTTCATCAACAGTATGTTTTAAATTGTTGTATTGTCACAATGCACATTCTGCCTTTGTGGCCAAATTATATA